GTGGGACAGAGATGCAAAAAAAAAAAAAAACAGGAAGGGGGCAAAAACCTTGTCATGGAACTTTATATATATATATATATTTATATATATATAGAGAGAGATCTTATATAGAGATCTCTCTCTCTCTATAAATATATAAATATTTTTATGTATTTTCTTTTGAACTGAAAAAACATACAACAGCAGTTTATAAAATTTGTATATTGAAATATCATGTAAGAAAATTACATTTAAAATATATATACATCCATTTATCGTATAGGTTTTACATTCATAATATAATTTTTTTAGCTATAAACAATAACATTTTGTTTGCCTGTTTTAGCTTGCATCAATAAATTAAACATAATCAAATTAAATGCTTTTTTTAATTATGTGTGGCATTCAACACTCATGTTCATACATGCAAATTCATGCTTTTCAACTCAGACGTGGGTGACACAACATTCCCAAGAGTGCCACAGTTCATTTTCACACAAATTATGCAATTCACTTAATACTACTGAGTGTTGTCACTTAATAATAACATTAAAAAATAGAACAAAAATTTTTATAAATAAGTGAATTTCTCAATTGTTTCCATACTCCTTTTTAAATATAATTTTTTTTTATTTTATATACATAAAAAAGATTGAATTAATTTATAAATAGTTTCCACACCACACATTTTATTTTGTTTTAAATATTTAAAAATATGTTAACTGTAATTAAGTGAATTTCTTAATTGTTTTCAGACATCAACTCAATAATTATTAGAAAAACTATTATATTAATGCTTATTCAGACTGAGAAGCTTTTAAGGTTTAATAATTGGGGGAACAAAAAAAAATTAAAATAAGTTTAACCCTTGAGTCTTTATATGTATTATCCTTTTGTTTTATGCTGTTTCTGTCTTTCTCTTAGTCAAAGGCTCAGTGACTCCATTGGCAACTCTTCCTCCTTCGGGCCGCTGTACTAAAGATCAGTTCCTGTGCCTGAAGCCTCCAGTCTGTATCGCTGATTGGCAGCGCTGTGATGGACATCCTCACTGCGTGGACGGGTCTGATGAGGACAACTGTCGTAAGTGCCTATAAGAGAATCATACACAGTACAAAAGTTACCCACTCTTTATTACCATTTTCACTAAAACCGTCAAATAAAACAAACATTATGCTCTATATACTTGGATAAACTGGGAATGGGGTGATGTGGCTAATGTCTTCACATACCTGTAAATGTTAAAAAGCTCCCCATTTTATTTCAGCCACTCATGGTCCGCTGCTCTGTGTGAATGGCACTCTCTGTGCGGACGGCGAGGCCTGCGTGCTGAACAGCGAGAGGTGTGATGGCTTCATAGACTGTTCTGACCGGAGTGACGAGGACAACTGCACTAGTGAGACACTGAGAGACATTTGTGGTGTATTTGCCATTGAAATCTGACTGCAGAAAGAACAGTATTATATCACAGTAAGCTGACTGACTGTTCATGCTGATTCACCCTATTTTTTCCCTTTCTCAGTGGATTTGCTGGTCTACAAAATTCAAAATCTTCAGTGGAGTATATTATTTTAATGTTCCTCTGACCAAATCAAAACTTACTTTATTCATAATTTAATGCTTCATTCAAGCATATTATCTTTAATGATTTTTATTCATGTTAATCATATTTAATGATAATAATAATAATTATGATTATTATTATCATTATCATCTTCTTATTTTTTATTATATTTTATATTATTTTAATGTTCCTCTGACCAAATCAAAACTTACTTTATTCATAATTTAATGCTTCATTCAAGCATATTATGTCTTTAATGATTTTTATTCATTTTAATCATATTTAATAATAATAATAATAATAATAATAATAATAATTAACAGGAAACAACTACAAACAAGAGGATTATTTATTTATTTATTTAATTACATTTTATCTTATATTCTGACATTTACATAAGCAATCTACAAAAGTTTTTTTTTTTTGAAGACAGTTAACGTGTGTTGTTCGGTTTTTGTTAAGAATCTGCTGAGAAACATCTTCCTGCGTCTTGACATCTTTTTGTCTAGCAATTTACCTTAAACTATGGTGCTTAACCGTTTCAGAGCAATTTAAATCAAACACTTCCAGCCTCACTTTCTTGCATCATTATTTTTTAAAAAGCACCATGTATAGTTGTTTTTTTTTTGTTTGTTTTTTTTGCTTTGCTTTGTTTCGTTTTGCTTTGCTTTGCTTTTTGTTTTGTTTTGCTTTGCTTTTTGCTTTGCTTTACTTTGATTTTCTCTGCTTTGTTTGCTTGGTTTTGTTTGATTTTGGTTTATGTTTCATGTTTTGTTTTGGTTTACGTTTTGTTTTGATTTTATTTATTTATTTGTTAGTTTGTTTTAAGCTTTCTCAGGTGGACCACTACAACTTTCACAGACCGCTTAACCTTTATTATTATTTTTTGTTTTGTTTTTTTGTTGTGTTTTATTATTATTATCATTTAGTTTGTTTATTTTAAGCTTTTTAAGTGGTGGAACGTGTTAATGTTGAATCAAAAAATCACAGACCACAAAACTATTATTAATTTTAGTGTTTTATTTTATTGTTTTATTTTTTGTTTTTATTGTTTTAATTGTATTTTATAAAAGAAAAAGAAAATAGAAAATAAAATGTAAAAACAATATATATAATATAAAAAATAATTAGGACATAATGAGGCAACTGGCAGTAGACATTTAATTTGTTTTATAATTATTCCACCATACTAAATACTGTATATAGGGAACCCTTGATCTACACACAACAGTAAATGTCTTCAGGTCAGTAATAAAGCTGTATATGTTTTCCAGGCAGGTGGGTGTCCAGCAGTGGACGTCCATGGACACAAACAGCAATAAGGGCAGTGCCGTTCTGACCGTGTTGATGCCGGACACAACCTACCAGGTGAAGGTTCAGACTCAGTGTCTCAGCAAACAGCACAGGACCAATGAAGTTCTCACACTACGCACACCAGAAGGATGTAAGTCTGGCTTAGCAGCACAGTCACTAAAATGATTTATGGAACAGCTCAGATTTACATGGAAGAGATATGCTGATGACTGTGTTTGTGTGGCAGTGCCAGATCCCCCGCAAAATCTGCAGCTGAGCTCTGACAATGCTGAGGACGGGACGGTACTGTGTTCCTGGAGCCCTCCTGATAAAGCACATGGACTCATCAGGGAGTATATTGTGAGTGAGAAGCCCTCAGGTCTTTATAGCATTTATCAACACATACTTATATCTAACCAGCTCATGTGTGTTTGCAGGTGGAGTACAGTGAAAAGGACAGTGCAGAGTGGTATTCCCAGCGTAGCACCATCACGAATGCAGAAGTGAAGGGCCTGCAGCCCAGCTCGCTCTACAGATTCAGGGTGAGACACTCCAAAACCTGCATGAAGTTGTTTCATGTACACTTCTGGTGATCATAGCTTCACCTAACCTTTATTCATCTGTTATTTGTCAGGCGGCTGCTGTCACAAGCAGAGGCATGGGAAACTGGACCGAAATTAAGTCCATTATTCCTCAAAAAGGTAACAAAACTATATAAAAGAAACTGACATGTTCTCAGAGGAGCGCTGACTCCCCCTGCTGGACATTTATGCTCAAGTGTTTAATCTTATAGGATAGTTGAAACCGATCTAGTCATTTAAACTCTCTTTTCAGCATAGATATAAACAGATCAATTTGTATCTGCAATTTAATATCACTGGAAAAGTAATGTGGTATCATGAATAATTATGAGACAGGGCCTTCTCATAGTATAAGGCCATGCAGTCTCATAAATAATTGAGACGCTCAAAATAATGGATACTAACATTCAATGAAAAATAAAGGATTTTAACATTCTTTGATCATATGAAACATGTATACATACTACCACTTAGTAGTTTGAGGTTGGGTTTTTTATGTTTTTTACAGATGTTTTTTACATCTCTTTCTCGTGTACTCCAGTGTCACACAATCCTTCATAAATCATTCTTATATGCTACTCAGGAAACTTTTCTCATTATCAATGTTGAAAGCAGTTGTGCTGCTTAATATTTTTGTGGTAACCGTGATATTTTTTTTCAGGATTCTTTGATACATTTCAAAAGAACAACATTTATTTCACATACTTCTGAATTCATTACATTATATATACATAATAATGTGTCTTTCAGCTCTCTCTCCTCCTGATGTCGAGATCTCCAGCATCACAGAGGACTCCATGATTTTGTCCATCACCAATGATTATAAAGTCCAGGTCAGTCATTTTGCTTTTTCTCTGTGTGTGGTAACGTTTATGACCTCCTAATTTAAATATAAAATGGATCTCTCTCTTTTAGGTGAAGCACTATATTGTTGTCATTTCATGGGTATTTGATGAACATGTGAAGGAGAGCTGGAATTACACGGTTTCAGGGACATTGAAAGGTACTGTAAAACACTTCACAATCATCAAACATCATGTCAGCATTTCTGGAGGTATATAAAATATGTGTGCTGTCTTCTGTACAGCCTCTAACCTGACAGCAGGAACAGTGTATGAGGTGGCGGTGTGGGCTCACACGGATGATGGAGACAGTCCTACTTCTCTGTTCCGCAAGCAGACCAAAGGTATTTTTTCTAGATCCTGCATTAAATTTATATTTTGACCTCACTATTCGGGGTGAGACTAAAGGCTGGAATACACTACACAACTTTAAAAAACTGCTTATAATACTGAACGTTATTGTGAGTTGGTGTGGTCGCAAATATATTTAAATAGTTATAATTCTTGGTCTGAACAGGTCTTTACTCATGAACACCTAAAGTGCAGTCATATTTATCAATGCTCTGCAAAATTTCACGGGCGATATCCATTCTTTTCAGTAGCAATTCACACGAGGGCGAAAAATTTCCCCACGCAAATTTCGCTTGTGTATAAGTTGGTCACAAGAAAAGTGAAGCCATTAACTTGATCAATTTTAGAAATAAACTAGCCTTTTACAAAGATTTGATTGAATTCATACAAACTTGTGTATTTACAAGTATGAAAACGAAAGAAAATTTATACTATAAGATGCGATCAAGTACAGCATTTAGTTTTATAAGCTAAAGGTGCGGTCACATTTACTGTTGTTCGACAAAATTTTGCAGGTGAAATTCAGTAATTTCAGTAGAAATCCATGTTTTTGGAAAGGGCTACATATTTCTCCATGCTGATTTCACATTAGGTTTAATCATGCTAATTTTGCAGCATTTTTCAGCCGAAAGCTGCTTGATTTGAAGGTGTTGTGAGTTGTGCTTCAAATATCATTAAACAATTAAAAATAGATAATGGACCCACAAAATTTGGCTGAAATTTCACTGTGTCCTGACCTTTAAGTTGAAAAGTGTGTCAAAACATCATTGTAATGTTCCCATGTTTTCGTAGATGTATGGATTGTTCTACGCCACATCCTTCCTGGATCTGTACCGCAGACCTCACAGGGTGAATACCACCTCAACCAGTCTGGCGGTGATCGTTGACAGCGACAAGCAGTTCCTCTTCCTGGTTAGTGTCCACCCTCCTACTCCTCATTTTAGAGATCCAGCTGGGCACCATGATGAAGTGATTGTGTGTTTGTTGTTCAGGTGAGGGTGATCGTTCCATTCCTCGGTCCTCCATCAGACTACGCCGTAGTGAAGATGATCCCCAATGAGCGACTTCCACCTCGAAACCTGCACAAGGTGCGAGTGGATAAGACACAGGCCACTCTGAAGTGGCAGCCGCCATATGATTCTCCCAGCAGTCCTTTGGTATGACCACATTGTCAAGTCCTAGACTCTTTTTTTTATATAAAACATTTAGTTATATGTCAGATGGGGAGTTTCAAGCATCTCTGTATGTATTTATCAGATGTATGCAGTGCACGTGCGAGATACAGTTCGTAAAATGGAGCGGGACTATAAGGTGAGCACTCAGAACAACACGGTGGAGTACACGCTGAAGGGCCTGGAGCCTGGAGGACGCTACAGCATAGCAAAATAATGTTTAATATATGGTACATATTTCAACACAAAAGAAAATAAGAAGTCTCTTATGCTCACCAAAGCTGCATTTATTTGATCAAAAATATGGTAATATTGTGAAATATAAATACAATTTAAAATAGGCCTAACTGTTTTCTATTTTAATATATTTCAAAATCTAGTTTATTCCTGTGATGGAAAAGCAGAATTTTCAGCAGCCATTACTCCAGTCTTTAAGATCACATGATCCTTCAGAAATCATTCTAAAATGAGATTTGGTGCTCAAGAAGAATTTCTTTTTATTAACAGTGTTGAAAACAGTTGTGCTGCTTAATATATTTGTAGAAACCATGATTTTTTCAAGATTCTTGGATGTATAGAAAGTTAAAAAGAACAGGGTTTTCTGAGATAGAAATCTTACTGTGACTTTTGATCAATTTTATGTGTCCCTGCTCAATAAAAAGTATTACTTTCTTTGAAAAGAAAAAAAATGTACTCACCACAAACTTTTGAGATGTAGCGTATTAACAACTATAAGTAAAATTCCCTGCTGTATTGTATTTTTTCCACACAGTTCCTCTGTCTGCGCCTGAGGCCCTCAAGATCTTAGAAGAACAGGATCATGTGTTCCTCTTCTGGAAGAGCCTGGCTGTGAAGGACCGGACCTTCAATGAGAGCAGGGTTAGAAACCAGACACACCTTTAAAGTCTACATGAAATCCACAATGACCCTATTTACTCAATTAATGAACATTTCTGCTCTTATTGTGGATGACGAAATTTTTTTTTTCATCTTTTAACGAGATTCTTCCTCCTCTGAAACTTTCCATTTTGGTTCACTTATGAAATGGTTTCACTAATAATCATCTGATCCTTCAGGGCTATGAGGTGTATATGCATGACAGCGTCAGCAACTCCACAAAGTGTCTGGGTAACACAACGGAGACGTTCTTCAGGATCAGCAACCTGTTGGTGGGCCATAACTATACCTTCTCAGTGCGGGCGCGCTGTCTGCTCATCAACCAGCTGTGTGGAGAGGCGGCGGTGCTGTTATATGATGAACTGGGCAAAGCAGCAGGCATGAACTTTTATGCAATAAACATTCTTCTTCTTTATCTTTGTAGGCATTTGTTGATCTTGAGGCTTATGTCGTCTTTCAGGGCCAAACGATGCCTCATCTCAGTCAGGTAAATCAGAGGACATGGCGGCGGTGGTGGTTCCAGTGTTGTTCCTGCTGTTGGTGGGTGTGTGTGGAGGCCTGGTGGTGCTTTACCTCAGACACCGTCGGCTACAGCACAGCTTCACCGCTTTCGCTAACAGCCACTACAACTCTCGTCTGGGCTCTGCCATTTTCTCCTCAGGAGATGAGCTGGGTAAGACCAGTCTCCTGCCTTTCATGAAATCTGTCTTCAGTACACTTCAGAGAAGTGTCGTTTAGTTCACTTCAGTTTAGCTCAGTTGGCTTGAGATCAGTTGACTTCAGTTCATCTCAGTTCACTTCATTTTAGTTCAGTTTACTTGTGGTTAGCTCAGATGGCTTGTGTGTATTAGTTCAATTCACTTCTATTTAGTTTAGTTCAGTTTACTTCACTGTGTTTGAGTTCATTTCACTCCATTTCACTTCAGCTCAGATGACTTCAGTAAAGTTCACTTCCATTTAGTTTTATTTTATATCGGTTCACTTCAGTTTAGCCCAGTTTCTCTTCAGTTAAGTTCACTACAGTTTAGTTTACTTAAATTCAATTAAAATAATCTCAGTTGTCTTTAGTACAAAGATTTTTTAGTTCAGCTCATTTTTAGTTAGTTATTTTGCTTAGTTGAATAAGTTGACCGTTAACATCACATTTAGTTTATTTTAGTTCACTTAAGGTGAATTCAGTTTAGTTTAGTCGACTTCATTTTAGTTCAGGTCACTTGTTTAGCTCAGTTGAGTTCATTTTAGTTTAGTTCACTTCATTTCATTTTTGTTTAGCTCAATTGACTTCAGTTCAATTCAATTTAGCTCAGTATGCTTACATTTTGTTCAGTTAACTTCAGTTTGGCAAAATTGTCCTCAGTTCACTTTAGTTCAGTTCAGTTTACTTCAGTTGTGTTGTGTTCAGTTTATTTAATCACTTCAATTAATTGAACTTCACCATTTTGAATCAGTTCAGTTAAATTCTTTTCACTTCATTTTATTTCAGTTTAGTTCACTTCAGATCTTTGTTTACCTGAATTCAGTTCTGTTCCCTTAAATTCAGTTCAGTTATCCACACTGTGAAAGTTGGCTATTAAGATGTTTCTTTGTTCCCTCTCTTCTTAAGGTGACGATGATGAAGATGCTCCTATGATCAGTGGCTTTTCAGATGACGTTCCCATGGTGATTGCATAGCTGGACAACTCTTCTATCCTCCTCCTTCACTTCCCACTCCACTTCCTCGTCATGTTTTCTTACGTGCCCATCCGGCACGCCTTCAAGCTATCGAGCCCCTTCCTCTTTACCCCTCCGGTCACTTAGAAAAACGCTGGATTTGGGTTTCTGGACCCTGAGGAAGAAAAGAAAGCATGGAGCAAAAGAGATATTTTTGAAAATAAGATGCACTTTTTTCGGATGCGCAATAACGTATTTTTTATATATAATATATGTGGGTAATTGATTTTGTAGGCATTAACTGAAGCAAACTGTGAAGGAGTTTGTCAGCTGATCAGCAGGCTCACTGAACAGGGAAACGACCCTTATTGTACAACAAACTCTCACATGAGCATTGCATTTGCTTAAAGCCAAAACAAGCATCTAGATATGGGTACATCAGTGTAAAAACACAAACATACACAACAAAAAAATCTAAAAAGCAAACCTCATATGTGTACAGATGAGAAAAATGGACCAATGAATGCTGATGAAAAGGGAAGGCGGTACGTAGGCTGTTGGCAGTAAATTGCACAGGATCAGATTTTTGTTGTATATGCTCAATTTGTGTCACTTTATTTCAGTAGACCTGCATTTGTCCATGGTACCTTGTTTACACTTTGTATCCATTTGTTAATTTCTTTGCTCAGCAATAGATTTAATTCCCTCTGCTTTTTGAAAATGTGAAAACTGTAACCTGTTTTGGTTGTTTTATCAGCTGTTTTCAGAAAAGAATGACCAAAATTAAGACAGTTATTTGAGTGTTGTCCACATTAAGTCCCATGCTTAGTCCATATGTTCACTGTCTTCTTTGATTTATCCTACACATTTTATCTAGCGAATATTATAATATTGCATATCCTGTGTGCTGTCATGGTTTTAGTCCTTTAGTGTTCTCAGGGAACTGGGTTAGTGTAGATGTACCAGCGATATATCAGTCACACTGCCACAGGCAGCGCAGTGTGTTTAATTCAGAGACTATTGTGCTGTACAGTAGTTCCATATTGCAGTGAAGCCTGTGCAGCTCTCGTCTGAACGGACCAGAAGGCTTCATTATTGTGCCAAGCTTAAGAAAAGCAGAGGGTAGAGCAGATGTCTTGCCTTCCCGAACCGTTGTGAAGAGGTACATGTGTTAAATCCATGTTTCATTTTAACTGGATTGCGGGTGTTGCTTAAAAGATTTCTTTATGAATGTATTTTTTTCCCCTTCTTTTTTTTTTGTATCTTGTATTGAGGTGACCAGAAAAAAAGGAAAATGGATATGGTCTACCCCCATCTTCTTTAATGTTCAAGGATTTTAAAATGAGGTTTATGGCCAGTTTACATTCAAATGCTTGTGGTCATTATTAATGATACCCAATTATTAATTGGAATTAGAACTGTTCAGTTGATAGATGTGGCTGTTTTTAGTGAAATTGTGCTTTTCAGTACCACATTGCCTTATTACAACACACTGTATGTAGCAGTATGTCAATGTCATCACGCATGCACGCGTTCACAGGAGATTGACTTGAGTACGAAGAAGAGTAAACAATTGTAAAAAGACTGAAATAGTGCGATAGGAAATGTGTGTATCGACATATTGTGAATTACCACTGTATAAAGTTCCAGCGCAGCACTTGTGTGAATCCTGAGCCACCGTTTTTATTTTATTTTGTCTTGTTTGTATTCTTTACTCGCAACCATTTGTGGCGATATTTGTCATGCCCAGTTTGAAACCCATTTATTTTTGGTCAATAAGATGTAAAACATTTTTTTACATAGCAGTGATGTTGGACACCGCCATGTTTAAATCTTTGATCTTGCCTGCCTTCTGAGGGGTTTAACGATAAGAAACTTGTAAGTGGTACAGTCTGAGATGTTTTATGAACCACTTGTGCTGAAGTAAATGTGGAAAACTTGAATCTGACTCCTCTTGCTTTGTGTGGCGGTGGAAATAAATCTGCATAGTCAATACCTCACACAGCATTCAAGAAATTCATTAAGATTTTTTTATTATTATTTTAACCACTTGCAGCGGTAACATTTTCTGCACTTGGACATGTCTAAGGGATAGTTCACTCCAAAATGAAAAACATTTTCTCATCATTTTTCATCTTAATTCCATTTCGAACTGTATGACATTATTCGGAACGCTACATTTTATTTATTTATTTACTTTTTTTTTTTTAAAGAAAAAACTGGTCTGCAAAGCTACAAAAAACCAAAGTGGTTATAAAGTATATTCTGGGTCTAATGATACAGAGCTAAATTTATAACGTTTATTTTGGATGAAAATGACTAAAATCGCTATGTATGAACAGTTATGAGCAAGCAGTGATTTCCGATTCGTGATAAAGGTTTTGATATGGAATCTTTTCAATTTTTTCCCCAAAAAATCTTTATTTATTTATTGATACTGGTTTAAAACAACGTCTCTTCATATCCTGATAGCAATAAATAATTATCATATGTGGATAAAGGGCCATAAAATGTTCATTTAATCGTTACATTCTGTACGAATGCAATGATAGGATGTCCTACCTGCCTGTCATCCTATATATTTGCATACCTCCGGGCAGCGAGAGTTTGGGGGCGTGGCCACTGTAGTATTGTTGTAGCAGGCTGAACCAGCGGGTGTTTAGCCGGTGTGAAACGCAAGCAAAATTCAAAGACTTGCTAAAATACACAAGAGACAGACAACTGGGTAAACTTACAGTGTTTTTACAAGATGGAGGAATTAGATTTAATTTTTTGGGTTTCAATCAATACGATGAGCTCTTCGGGAACGTCGCTCAGACGGTTGCTATATGCGAAAAGCACCTTCAGGTTTCTAAGCCGTCAGAGTTTCTTCTTGACAGGTAAGCTAAACCTAAAGTTAGAAATGTTCCAAATATGTTGGACATTTTATTGAATTTTTACCCGTTGAGCCTACTTGCCTTTTACTTTTATAGACCTGTGAGAGCTGTCTGTGATATTTAAGTCGGGGGTGACGCGTGACGCGCGAAAGAGGCATATACAAAGGTTGTTTAAAAACATGCTTTATTTTGTAGTTCCACTTGACTAGATGACACTAGTATCGCAAAAATAGCTTTAAAGTGATAGTTCACCCAAAAATTTAAATTCTGTCATTAATTACTCACCCTCTTGTCGTTTCAAACCTGTTAAACCTTCCTTCATCTTTGGAATACAAATTAAGATTAAAGTGGTCATATGATGCTGCTAAAACGAACATTATTTTGTGTATTTGGTGTAATGAAATGTGTTTATGCGGGTTAAGGTTCAAAAAACACATTATTTAAATGTGTTGCACACATCTGAATATTTGGGTTAAACTGTTCTGGAACAGTGTTGTAAATACAACTTAACCACTGATTTCTAGTCGTGTCCTCTTTTGGAAGCTCAGACAAAGTAGTTTCGCTTTCACAACGAAACACAGCGTAACACACGGCGGCCTAGAGTGAGCAGAGGCTGGGGGCTCGAGTGAGTGGCCGGTGGGCTTGAGTGAGCAGAGTCGGTGGGCTTGAGAAAGGCGCGGCCGGCGGATTCGACGAAGGAGTGTCCGGCGGGCTTGCGGCAACCACATGTGACGACCCCGGGCTGGACTCCGCTTCGTCCACGGTGAAAGCCGATCCGGCGATCGACAGCTCGAAGTTGATGTATTTCCTCAGAGACCAGCATGGATCAGCTCCAGGCATGACGAAGCGGATATCGTCCTATTTTGGAAGGCCAAACAAAGTAGTTTCGCTTTCACAACGAAACACACAGCGCCTTCACGACATGGCGGCAGCAACAACAATACTACAGCGAGAATAAAAGTTACACCTTCTTTCTTTGCGTGAACATTTGGGCGGCGTTATGCAAATCTTCCCACATCGTGACGTAGACATGTGGGGGCGTGTTAGAATGAGCCGTTTTAGGTAGGTGTGGCTGACTCTTAACTTTTATAAAGAATATCTCTTTGGATTTGAGACTTTAGTCTTTGCAACTTTACAGATCTTCTTTATGCACCAAGAGCTTGTAACACTCCAAAGAGAAAGGAAAAATTGAAATCGCATCATATGACCCCTTTAAATGTGTGCATTCCTCTGCTTGTAAATAAGGCACAGCGCATGCAGGTTCTACATCTGCAGTATCACACGCATGTGTCGTGGTACTGTCATGAATAGTGGACTACGTGACACAGAAGAGAAGAATTGTTGAATTAAGTCATTATTTTTGTTTTCTTTGTGCACAAAAAGTATTCTCGTAGCTTCATAAAATTACAGTCAAACCACTGATGTCACATGGACTATTTTAATGATTTCCTTACTACGTTTCTGGGCCTGGGAACATTTCAGTTGCACTGCTGTCTATGCAGGTTCAGAAAGCTCTCGGATTTCATAACAATATCTTAATTTGTTTTCTGAAGATGAACGAAGGTCTTGCAGGTTTGGAACGACATGAGGGTGAGTGATTGACAGAATTTTCTTTTTTGGGTGAACTTTTTTGGGATCCCTTTAATGCGTGACTTCAAAAGACTTGGAATATATCATACTATTCGTATGGACCACTTTTATCTGTCTGTCTGTGTGTGTGAACTAGTCATTAATATGTGATTCCCCGAATGTACCAAAAATGATCACGGAACTAATTTAACAATTTATTCAAAGGAAATCACAGTGCACACTGAGGGTCATTCACCTGCAGTGACCTGGAGTTAACAGCTCTGCTCAAGTGCACAATAGATAATTGATCACTCTCGTGGGGTTTGATCCTACAACCTTTTGGTTAACAGCCCACGTCCTTTAATCACTAGGCCACGCCACCCGAGAACAAATATTTTATTCTCCTCCACCTCACGAAAATTTGACTTAAATCAACTTGTATTTTCTTGATTACACATGATGTGAAATAAAAGACATTTCTGAAAATAAGGCAACCTAAAGCAAACAGTTTGCTTCATTTCCCTGCCTCAGCCTCTGGCCCTTCTGCCCTGTGTTTATTGATGTGTGGGCTTTATTTGAACCACATTTAGACATGTTTATAGAGGTGGGATGTCTTTATACGCGGCATGTTCCTGTCTCTGTTTATTTGAACTTGTCGTCCTTTATTTATCCTCACATCACACTCCTCCAACACAGATGGAGGGCTGTTGCTTGCGTGAGTGACGTCACGGAGCGCGCAGCTCGGGGTTTCACAGCTGAACGCTTCAGAGAATGTTTCATCAGTGAGCTGCTCTTTATCTCACAAGGCATCTATTCAGAAACTGGAACCTGTGTTTGTCTGAAGAATTCAGCTTTGATTGTAAATTAAGCACGCGTACACCAAAAATAGTGAGGAAGAACACTAGGCTATGTTGTTAAACAGTAATGAGAATCATCCTCTGTATGGCTTCTTTTTATTTAAAAAAAACTGTTTTTTTTTTAAATATAACTTAATATTTAAATCTTTTTTGTATTGTAATAATTCAGAATTTTTCAAGTCTAATTGATAGGAAAATATGATTAATTTTCTTTCTTTTTTTGTCTTATTTTTATTTTGAAATATGTCCCTCAAAAGGCATTCACTCAGCTAATTTGATTCTTAGAAGGAGTTTTGCATGTGACTCTGAAAATGTAATAATAAATAATTAAATGACATGAAAATGAAAAGTCATGGGACTGAAGGAAATCTGAATCATAATGCAGCTTCCCATAACCACCAGCAGCTGTCGCTCATGTCTCAATTTACTGCTCCTTCACTCACATATGCGACTTATTCCTTATGTTTGCAGGGAAGAGCAACTATAACAAAAGAAGACATCTAGTGAACAGTTCCAATAGCAGTGTGAAATTAACTTTGGTGCTTTTCTGTTAATATAATTAATTAAATAGAGAATTCTTTATAGCTTGGCAATTAAAAAGAGAGAAAAACTGAAAACAACGTCTTCATCTAAGCACAGATATAAATACTTATATAATTCATCAGAATTCTTAGATTGATAAAATAATTGTTACTTTTCAGTAGTGCTGTCAAACAATTAATTGCGATTAATCGCATCCAAAATAAAAGTTTTTAATTTCATAATATGTGTGTGTGTACTGTGTATAATTATTATGTATATATAAATGCATACACATACAGTATATATTTTGAAAATATTTACATGTATATATGTATAGTCATATAATTTATATTACATATAATACATATAATACATATATACATATAATTTTTCTTAAATATATACATGCATGGGTGTGTATTTATATATACATAATAAATATACACAGTACACACACATATATGTAAACAAAAACTTTTATTTTGGATGCGATTAATCGTGATTAATTGTTTGGCAGCACTACTTTTTAGATAAAGTTCCAGCTGTCATTATACTACATCCAAAAAATATTTAAAAAATGTATAAAAATAATTTTTATTATTTTATTTAATATTATTGTAAGAGCAGTAAATGTTTTTTTTTTTTTTTTTAATTTTATGACTTTATTTTTTCTTTAAGTATATATATATATATATATATTTATTAGCTGCCTAATGGTTTGCTTTCTTCCTGAGCTGAAGCTTCTTGAGCAGATTTCCATCGATGCTGCATGCTTGTCACTGTAATGCAGCGGCCTCTTTGATGTTTGTAATGGGAAGGTAATTGATGTTAGCTGTCCAGTGTGTACAGATAAGGACCGTTAAGTTTTACAATGCCAAAACTGCACTGGGACAAACAATTACATTAGGTCAATGTGGTAATGGTCTGTGTCTTTAGAGAAAAGGTCAGACAGAAAGGTCTAGGTCCAAAAATAGATTCTCTGTAAAAGTAGAAATGACTCCGTCTTGTTTTCTGTTCCTCTGGCACATATTGTTGATTTTAATGTGCATTGTTCTTACTGTCAGAAATGATTATATAATTGCTTTTAGAAATAACTATATGATTATAAAGAACAGCCAG